AGTGAACAACTGTATAGTTAATGCTGCTCAATGTGAAAGCACGCACATGATGGAGATTTACCGCTGATTACAGAACAGCTTTACTGATAAGATGCGCGTTAAATATCGCATGCGATTTATCGTGCAGCCCTAAACTTAATACACGACCTACATTATTTATTTTGCAAAATCTTGTCATTTTAATAAATATTAGGGCCTACATGAAATTTCTTAATTGTTGCTGCTCTAATTAAGCTCAGTGTGCTCTCTTTAAGCTCTTCCACATTGAATGTCTATGTAAATACTTCATAAACAGACTTTAAATATTAACTGATGGTTGTCACTTTAAGTTAATCTTTATAAAATGATTAATAACTTATTTTCACAGCTTTAAGGTGTCAAAATCTTGACATAACTATCAGGGTTCGTACACATTTTTACCAATACATTTCCATGACTTTGAGACAATATTCATGACCTAAATGTTCCATTATTTTACAATAAGAATAAAAATCTGTTCAAATTATCATAGTATATGTTAACTAAAATGAATGACTATTAATGCTACTCGTTTGCTTTCTTGTTTTAGTAATAAGTACAAGCTGCAACTGCGCCAGACCTTACTCCACATTTCACATCACTGAATATTATCATTTATTTAACTGTGTGGCCAGGATGGCCATTTGGGTGTCATTTTGTGTGTATTTTTGCTGCTTAAATGCAACAAGCTGCGCTTTAGAGCCCTGCATTTCAGCCCGAGCCCAACGGCCCCAACTTATGTATGGCTTCGGGACAATTTTCACGTCATAGCTCAGACACGGGCCAGGCATCAGGCTTGCTTCCTCCTTATGTTTATATTTTAGATATCCATCAATTATTATGGGGATGACAAAGATTTGCCGCGCTCGTGGAAACAACACGAGACCATGCTACCGCGACTGTCAAGAGTGGCTCAGATGGTGTTTAGTGTCCAGCAGCAGCGAGTGCTGGAAGAGTTCCATGTTAAAGAGCACGCAAAGCTTGCCGCAAAACGCCAGCAAGTAATTACCATGATGAATGCCCCAGGGGAAATAGAACATTCGCAGGGTTTTGGTTCATTTTTGTGAAGAGCTCCTGCTCAAGACCGAGACAGCAGAAAGCGTATCCTGTTTGTTTTCTAAAAAAGCACAATGTATGCTGATATTGTGAGTGCACACAAATAAAAGTAGACCCTTAACAGTCCCGAATGATGTATTACTCTTACCTTTATGAGCAAAAATGACTGGTTGTTTCCACTGTTATAAGAAAAAAATACAAGTGATGGTGCTGGCGACTCCAAAGTGTGCTTTAGCTTCTCTGCACAAACGATTGGATACGCTCCTAATAGCACACATTTATCTAGGTTAACCATTTAAACTAACATTGTTTTTTTTAAGCATTTTATATAGGCCTATAGATTTTATTTTAGTCAAGTGGTGATGATTTGAGAAGGCTAAATTGATCAAACTCACTGTCTGCGACTGGCCGCTTGGTCGTTACTTAAAAAACAAAACTTGAATTTAACAAACAAAAACAGTTTCCAAACATGTGTCTAAATTAACGTAATAAAGAAACGAAAATATATATAACCACTTTTGCCATTAGATTTCAATGACTTTTCCAAAACTTTCTGGGTTTATTTATTTTTCCAAAACTTTTCCAGGCCTGGAAATTGGTGTTTTAAAATTCCATGACTTTTCCAGGTTTTTCATGACCGTACGAACCCTGAACTATAGTTTATGCCCAAAGATGAAAGCGGCATGTCGTCCATTCAAAGAAAGAGCCATCAGAATATCGGTCTAGGAAAAAAAGCTACTAAAGGCTGGAATACACTACACGACTTTTAAAATGTGAACAGAAAAGATTTTTAAAACACCAGGCATCATACACTTACAGACTTTGTAAATAAACGCATTGTTGCTAGGAAACGCGTGACAAATGAAAACAATGCGTTTTAAAATCTGCTGAAAATATCAAACATGTTTGATCTCCTCCGACTGGATGGAATCAAAGTCTGAAGCCAAAAAATCTGAGTCTGTGACCATCATACACTATGTGATTTTCTATGGAATCAGTCGACTCAAATCTACAGACTGGCTCTGACCTTTGGCAACTAGCATCAACTTCTCCAGACTGTAAATTGCTGGAAAATCTGGGCAAAAATCATGTAGTGTATTCCAGCCTTAAGAGACTATAGATAAGTTGACATCCATTTAATAAGCGGCTTCATAATGAGGCTAGTTTCTGTGTTCATCCCCGTGAAAGAAATGTTTTATTGGTTGTTTTGTTACTAGATTTTTGAATATGTTACTTAGCTGAATGTGGACTAGTCTAGATGTTGCAGTGTGCTTAAATGACACTTCACTATGAATATATCGTTGCTTGATTTTAGTGTTCTGTTGTTGTTTTTTTGTGATAGAATTTATACCTTCAAATAAAACTATATATAAAAATATATTCTTTAAAAAGGTTGTTTAACATAAACAAGAATTTTAATAAAACATGATTTGAGCTTAATGGGAACAGGGGTGTGCTTAAAGGGTACAAAAATGTACCCATTAAGCACAGCCAGACTTTTTGCATTTAATGATGTATATCTTAATTTAAATGCTTTTGTCATTTAAAATAAAATGAAATATTTTTGTGTGAGAGATTAATATTTTATTTTAATTTAACTTCTTGTGCTGAAACCGATATCTTGTGCACTAAAAATGTCTCAATGTAGATTTTAGTTATAAATATATTTCACATATGAATTGTATTCATTAGTCTTTTAGTTCTAGTTCAGAAACATGATTTGTTCTGAATAACATTTTAACAATATTAATTGTATCATTTTATCTTTCTAATATATATATATATATATATATATATATACACACACACACACCTATACATACACACACACACACAAAACTGCTAAAATACATATTAATATTTAACATTACAATATGATATAAAATGAGTACAATTAATATTGTTTAATTAAATGTTATTCAGAACAAATTACTTTTATGAACTAGTAGTACTAAAAGAATCATTAAGGAGCTATAATTAGAATCATTAAAATTCCTCACAAATGCCAGCAAAAGAGTAACGCCTAAATCAAAGCATGAGGGAATCAAGAGAGAAATCCGCAGGCCGGACGCGCATGTGCATCCCCCCTGTCCAAGTGCAACAGGAATGTGACACAGAGGGTTGAAATCTGACAGCAAGGCTGTAGGTCCCACACACAGCGGCATGGACTGCACTAGTGTGTGTATGTGCATGCATGCAACACACCCATCAGGCCGCACAAATTAAAGTGTGGCACATCACGTGGAAGAGGGGGCATAAACAGAAATAAAAAGAAGCAAACAAAGAAAGACAGACAAGATAAAATCCAGACAGACAGACAGATGGGGGAGGCTCGCACAGACAGTTGTGTTGTGACCGCAGCCGTTGTCTAACACCATATCTCAATTATTGCCTTTCTTTCTATTAATAGAATGATTCCAACAATAGCCCAGCCTGCTGGTTAGACATAATACAACTCATACCCCTCTGGGTACAATAGTTGAGAACGCATACAGCCTCCACTGTTGTAATGCCAAGCAGAAGAGACAGCTATAGCTGCGACCGAGTATATTTAGGCCTGCATTCCAAATCCAGCCTCAACTCAAGTGGAATTCTAGAAATCAAACGGCTGCATGGCAGGAAGTTTGTGAAATTCTAGTTGCATGTCGACGTCTGCCAACAGTTGCGGAGGTTCTAGTTTGGAACAGTGTGTAGCAGACTTTGAAAATGCACTTGAAAGTATGTGTGATAGATGTCAGAAGTCTTAAAAACACAACAAGATGGATATTAGCGCGTATGCATTTTATTTTAAGTTGTTCTAAGCATGCAATGCAGATATGATTAGGCAGCAACTTCAATAAAAAAAAAAATACAAGAAAATGTAAAAACACGAAGCAGTAAATGTTTGGTCTGGCCACACACACACACAACGTATCACATGAGTCATATGACTTGGCCCACACAGAATTTCTGTTCAGCTCCCTTTATTTATTATATAAAAAAAGTATGCAGCTCACTCACGCTTAAAGCAAATCACTGTAGTAAAAATGCAAGTAAAGCAAGTAAAAGCACAGAAACATTATAAAAAATAAAAAAAACTGTCCCATCAACTAACTTAATATAAATTATACAATACAATACAAAATATAGCCCTGAAATGTTGCCCAATAAGAATTAGTATAAAAAGCATAATATAAAAATCTTAAAGATTTTGGATGGATCTAATAGCTTTATTATTACCTATAATACTGCACCTTCCTAAACACCACCCAAAGCAACTGTATTTAAGGGTGCTCCGATTGATCGGCTACTGATCACTATCGGCCGATAATCATGTTGGGATGATTGATCGGCGGTCTCTAAAAAGGCAGATCTCAAAAAAACGATCTCAAGCTGATGACGCTGCCGTGAGAGGTTTGGCACGACATGCAGCAGCACCGTCTCAGTCTCTGTCCGACGCGGGTGAAATAATTATAATGCTTTAGGTGAGGTACTCACCTTCATATTTCTTCATTAAATAACTTTTAAAGTAATTTGAAAACCTTGTGTGAGACGTAATTTCACAAACAGCGCGAGTGAATCACCACACATCGCGCCTGTCTATAAGCGAGCTGCACAGTTGACACAGGAATAGTCACTTGCACAGTTGAGGCGGTGTCACATCGTCGCTAAAGTTTATAAATTGCATTTCTTTTTAATTCTTGTCCGTGTTTAACCATTCAGCGCTCGCGTGGTCTCCTGGAGACTGCGCTCATGCACACTCGCAACGCACACACATAACGCCGGGTTCACATTACTCCGTTTGCAGTGCATACGTGGTGCGTATTCAGCACCGTCTCAGTCTCTGTCCGACGCGGGTGAAATAATTATAATGCTTTAGGTGAGGTACTCACCTTCATATTTCTTCATTAAATAACTTTTAAAGTAATTTGAAAACCTTGTGTGAGACGTAATTTCACAAACAGCGCGAGTGAATCACCACACATCGCGCCTGTCTATAAGCGAGCTGCACAGTTGACACAGGAATAGTCACTTGCACAGTTGAGGCGGTGTTACATCGTCGCTAAAGTTTATAAATTGCATTTCTTTTTAATTCTTGTCCGTGTTTAACCATTCAGCGCTCGCGTGCTCTCCTGGAGACTGCGCTCATGCACACTCGCAACGCACACACATAACGCCGGGTTCACATTACTCCGTTTGCAGTGCATACGTGGTGCGTATTTTTTCCGCGCTCATGTTAACAGATTAAAGTGTTCACTGCACACGGTTGCGACCCTGCAGTGCAGAGATCAAGTAAATGTAAAAGTAAAAAGCATTGAATAATATGTTGCTTATATTTATTGTGTTTAAACATGTCTGTGAAAGATTGCATTACTGTACTGTGTAAAAAAAAAAAAGAATTACAATGCTGAAAAAGAATTTTCAGTGACAATGTTTGGATTTGAAATCAAAATAATGGATAAATGTTGTGTTTGTGGTAAACAGCCACGGATCAGTAGCGGACTCCTGTGTGAAAGCTGCTTCTCCTCTCACAAGAGTCACCTAAAAGGGGAATTCCCCCCATTTTCAAAAATGAAATTCAGGCCCAGAGTAAATGTCTAAAAATCCTGATTGGAGTACCACTAAAAAATAGCTATGAATGATAAAAAGAAGGCTTTAAAAAGATCCGTATCGGTGATCGGTATCGGCAGATACTGCTTTTTGTGATCAGCGATTGGCCTCAAAAATCCTGATCGGAGCACCCCTAACTGTATTCATACTTTATTGACTATTAACAATATAGTAAGTGGATAGTAAAAAATAGAATCACCAAAAATTTCTCAAGTCAAAACCAATTTCTACTTTATCGTAAAAATATTAAAATGATTAAGATTAATAAATATAGCAGCAAATTATGGTTGGATGTAACTGCTTAATTACAATTAATACAAGCAATAAAATATTGCTTCTTACTAAAATGCAGTATTTATACTTTCTTTACTTAAAAGGAACAGTTCACTGAAAATGCAGTTTCTGAATTATATATCCACTGATGTTGTTCGTCAAAATCAAGAAATAAATTTTTTTAACATTCCAAACTCACCAAAACAAATTCATATAGTCTCTGTTGCTCTCTTTAAAAAAAAGTTATAAAAAAAAAAAAAAAATTTTAAAAAAAAATTAAAAAAAAAAAAAAAAAAAAAAAAAAAGAAGTAAACCAAGTTACAAAAAGTGACTGCCTACCACTGTGGAGATATTTGTTTGATCCTCAGCACCTTTTCAGTTTCAAATGCGCTCTTGACCGCACAGAAGTTTAAGAGTTTGAGCCAAACAGCTGTTCCGGGGGAGACGACGATGGCACCATCTAGTCATTTATCCAGAGGAAAGGTCCAAAATATGATATTTTTGGTGTGTTGCTGTGTTAAGCGGTCACAATGCTAAAAATGATCCCGACATGCACAAACAAACTTTTACAGTTGATAAAAGATGGCAAACAGTATTCCAAACAAACAAAAGCTTTACTGATAATTAGCACTTAATTATGAAATATGTATTAATCTTTTTAGCAAGTACATATTAGGTTGAAGTGATTTGCAAATCAACAAATGCAATTTAAACAAATGTATTTATAGTATGTTTTATAAAAAAAGCAAATAAATTATAAATACACAATTGACTGTCCAAAGAAGAAAATCATTAAAACGTTTCTGCCACTGAACAATTAAATAATATTATTTATAATTAAAAATATTTACATTCACAACAGGCCACAGCATGGAACATTTAAAACGGAGTAGAAATAAAAAATACTAAAAAATAATAGCTTAGATTTAACAGTTTTTTTAACATAAAAATCAAAACAAAGAAATTTCTCTTTATATAGAAACAAGAAAAGCCAGGAAAAAACATGCAAAGAGAATAAACAATTCACAGAAAGAAGAGTGAGCTGTTGTGCCGATGGTGTATTAGCATGTAAAAGCTGATAATATCCTCATCGCTTACTAATCTGGTTAATTTTACAGCTCATCTAGTTAACAGTAGAGTATTAAGGGTGTGGATTAGG